GATAGAACATACGTGCAAGCAAAATTCTTAACAAAGAGACTTGAGACAATATCCAGATAGAAAGAGCAAAAAGATCATGCTACAATGGGCATGGGAAATGGCTTGAAGTGATATGAAGGTGCGGCTCAGGGAGTGGTGAGCTGCCACTGCTCCAGCTGCCCTCAAGGCTGCTACGGTAAGCATGGCTGCCCATGTGGCCCTTTAGGTGTGCTGCTGTAGGGGGTCAGGTGAGGCAGCCTTGGGATCAGCAGCCCTTTTCAACCTCAGATGATGAAAGTTCTGGTTTGGGGCTGTGCCTTGTTTCCAGAGTCTAGTTTTTTAGGAAGCTCTCTGTGGCTCTCTCCAGATCTGACTGTGGGGGGCACTGACTCTGGCTCTAACTGCAGTCTCTCCGGAAAGATGGTTCCTTGCCTTCTGCCTCTATGCAGGGCTGTGCAATACTGAACTCGGTAATACTGACAGCTACCATTTACTGTGTACCTACTGTGTGCTGGGCAGTGCTAATCTCTATCATGATCTCTAATCATCACAGCACCCTTGAAAAATTGATACTTTGGATCCCACACTGATAGAAGAATAAGGAAAGTCTTCCTAACTAAAGGGACTTGAGGTTTGACCCCAAAGTCAGGAGTCTGGGCTGATTCACTACAGGCTCTGCCATACATTTGGAAAGTCTCTCGTTGCCCCATCTCCGCACACAACCACATCCAGAGGAAGTGGGAAAGCATTATTCTAAAGTCTGCCCACAGCAAACCTCGCCTTGTGTTATTGGTTAAATTGCATCACAGGCTCATTCCTGACCCAGAGACTAGCAAAAAGAATGGAATGACCACCACTTTTGGGGTAAATGAGGCCCATTGCTGGACTGGAGATGGTTTGACTTCTAAAGGGAGATCTCTGATGGGGAGGAGCAGTTTCCTTAGCAAACAGGAATTCCCTAGGAAGGAGGAAGAGAAAAATGGATATGGGGTAGGCAACCAGCAGTGCTCATCCTAGCACAAACTTTTTAGAACCAGTGAGTCGCCAGTGAGAACTTTATCATGCTTAGACAGACACAGCTGAAAACACGGAAATAAAAGGTGGGGCTTGTGCTGTTGAAAAGAAGGTTTTTATCTACTTCAGGCCTAAACGTTTTTCAACGAGGTTATCGAAATGATACTTATTTAACAAATAAATATCCTCTTACGGGGGCTATCAATACCTGCCATTTGCAGGTAAGAAAAGAGACCTAGGAAGGTTAGGGACTTTGTCCCAGGCTTTCCAGCAAGGAAGCGGCAGATGTGGGGTCCAAAGCAGATGCTCTCTCTGCTGTTCTACAGAGCAAATTCCAAGGTCTTAAAGGGAGGATAACAGAAGCCTGAAAAGGGTTCCAAAGATCATCTACCCCCTTGTGAGCTCGCCTCCATGCCAGGGCAGTTTCCCACTGAGTGCTTATCCAGCCTCCTCTTGAGCCCCTCCATGGGACAGGCAGGAATTCACATCTATGAAAAGAATTCTGAGTATCCCCCATGGAGCGGGAGCCTGCTCCTCAGGGAAACTGAGTTTCTGCACCCAAGGCACACACAACTTTCAAGTAAGAGGGAACATGTCATAGTGTCATTCAGGATCTCAGATCCAGCATCAGGGAGAAGCGGCACTCACCTGTGGTGCAAAGACATCGTATGAGATAGAATCACAGCGTTGCTTGGGAGAAAGAAAAGAGTGGTCCCAGACAGATGTGAATTTAAATTTATGTTGCAAGGCTTTTCTGAAAACACACCTGAGCACATTTCTGTTGGAAATGTATTTGTGATGTTTCTACCAGCTAGTGGTCTATCTGAGCACCAGCTCCATCCTAAGCTAGGCTTACTCCACACAGATGACAGAGGCTCAGCAAAGCTTAATTAGATCTGTCATAAACTCACTCCACAACTAACATGAGACATTTCTGTTATCATCTTATTCCTAGTCTAACTTTTATGTGGATAATTCTTTTTGTTTATACATATCCAACCCCCAAACAATCTATGAACTGGATATCTTTTTGTTGTAAATAAAAAAATAAAACATTGACAAGTGTTTACTCCTTGAAGGGGTACTAATTTAGAAATATATCAATGTAATGAAATAATTTAAAATGTTTTTTAAAGAGACAGAATTAAGTCAACTGACATGAAATAATCTCTGAGATATGTTATCAAGATGCAGCACTGTGCCATCAGGATACTACTTATGTTAAAACATGGTCTATTGAGTGGGACTTTCTTGTTTGTTAGAGTGGAATTGGAAGGGCAAAGCTGAGGACAATGAAGGATAAATAATGCACCTTGTATGGAAAGCCACCACCAACAGGCCAGAATTCCTTTCTAGGGCTTTCTTAAAGATGAAACAACTGATCTTATAGTTATCCGCACACACTCCCCACCTTCCCACCCTAGTTGGTCTGGTAAGAAGTGTTAGCGAGTTTTTCCTTTTATTCCCTCACCTCCACAAGCCAAATGAAATGGGCCCCAAGAGAAACATCATTAAAGATTGGAGTTTACTTGACAACAAGAGGAGGCTGGTGCCTCATTTACCACTTGGTCAGCTGCTTAGGTATAGTTGATGCATTGATCTGCCCCGTGCCTGCTGAGCAGGCACAAAGAGCCTTGGAAGAAATAACAGTCTGGCTTGAAAGGGACATGTGAGTCTCCCATGGGAAGTGGACACCATGGAAGATGACAGTCTTGAGTTGTGTTGCTTTCTGTCACTAGGCACAGAGACCCCAGCATAAGAGGCTGTGGGGTGTACACAGAAGCAGAAACTGAAGGGGCTGGAAGAGGCGAACCTGCAGCTGGATCTGCCACACTGGGGAAGCTGGGTATGTGAGAGAGCCTCTCTGAAGAACTTACCTGCGAGGCTCCAAGTGCCTGTTTTAGGGTGCCAGCCATTCAGATGGTTAGTGTTGGCAAGTGAGGCCATGACCATTCACAGAGAAAGGACCATAATGTGGGAAGTTCAGTAAGGAGATAGTTACCCTTCCTCTCCATGGCCTCTCCCAGTCCTCAGCTTTGATAAAGGAGGGACGCCGCTGTCATTGAACTTGTCATGACCACCCTACTCTAAGAGGAAAAGTGGGGAGATAGGAGTAAAAGATAGATACGCCCCCTGCCCATTGCAAGTGCTCCCAGGTCATAATGGGGGTGGGTAGTTTGAGTAGATATAAGACTGAAATTTTATATGAAAATTAGCTGGGTGCAGTGGTGTGTACCTGTAGTCCCAGCTACTCAGGAGGCCGAGGCAGGATAATTGCTTGAACCCAGGAGGCAGAGATTGCAGTAAACTGAGATTGTGCCACTGCCCTCCAGCCTGGCAATAGAGCAAGACTCCGTCTCAAAAAAAAAAAAAAAAAAAAAAAAAAGAAATTTTAAACTAGATTACACCAGAATTTTTAACAGCTAAAAATGAGAAGAAAGCTATGGACCCCTTCGTTTTCTGCCTCCCTCATAGAAATGGGAGACTGGACAGAACACAGTTGTAAGTTGTGGTCAGTTAAAAAAAACCCTACACATTTTAGGTTAGTTTCCCACAGCTCCATATATGTGGATATGGGCACACTATCTCTAGAAGGATAGAGAAAAAATGAGGAAATGCCTCTTGAAGAATGACTTGCAGACTGACCCCAGGCAGGTATAGTACCTGCATACCTTTTGTGCTGGTTTTTGTTTGCTTGTCATCATGTACAAATATTACACAAAACAGGCTTCAGAAGAACTAGTTATGTAGATGTACCATGACTTGTATAATTAGTTCCTCATTCGTGGATATTTAGGCCACGCTCAAGTTTTAAGGTGACTATTATTACCATTATCATAAACTCATCGCAGGGAGGATCCTGTACATGCATCTATAATACTATGGTGATGTTTCTTCTCTCCTTGTCCCAGACCCCTTTCCTCTGCTATTATCTGTCCACAGATCTCGTGATGGAACTTTCTGACTACTCATCCTTGAATGAGGTGAGTTTTCCTTTACAAGCCTTTGCAGGTGGTCTGGTGGGGAAGGCAAGGGTCAGGTTCCACTTTCTGGAATGTTCTCATGACCCAGGACGTGAGTGAGAGACTCCTTTAGCAGAGGACAGGCAGGTGGGGGGCTGTGTGCCTCACAGTTTCTCTTCTGCCTCCTGCCACCTGGATGGGCCAATTCTAGCACGCAGCTTGTCTGTAGGTGTCCTCATTGATCCTCACTTCTTCTTCCCCTCGGGACCAAACTGAGTTCAGAGTAGTTCCCATCGCCCCTGCACCTACTCCTTCTGGGCCAAGTATTAGATTGGAATTTTGCACCTTAGTGTGAACCTATTACCTTAAAGAAGTAAATTAGATTGATTTTTTTCTTTTCTTCTTTTGTTTCTTTTGAACCGGAGTCTCACCCTGTTGCCCAGGCTGGAGTGTAATGGCACCATCTCAGCTCACTGCAACCTCCACCTCCCAGTTCAAGCAATTTTCCTGCCTCAGCTTCCTGAGTAGCTGAGATTACAGGTGTCTGCCACCATGCCTGGCTAATTTTTGTATTTTTAGTAGAGACAAGGTTTCACCATGCTGGCCAGGCTGGTCTCAAACTCCTGACCTTAGGTAATCCACCAGCCTCAGCCTCCCAAAGTGCTGGGATTACAGGCGTGAGCCACCGCATCCAGCCTTGGTTGATTTTTTTCTGAGATATAAGGGTCCTGTCTCCGTTCTTCCATCGCACCCTCACCCCACCCCTGTTCCCTCTTCACTGCTTTAGCATGCCTTCTGCCTGTTTTGTGTACTTATTTGTACATGATGACAAGCAAACAAAAACCAGCACAAAAGGTATGCAGGAACTATACCTGCCTGGGGTCAGTCTGCAAGTCATTCTTCAAGAGGCATTTCCTCATTTTTTCTCTATCCTTCCAGAGATAGTGTGCCCATATCCACAAAATCGTGAGTTCTGTCTGTACATACTACTATGGAAAGATATTCAAGATATATAACTTCAAGTGATTTATTAAATAGGCAACATGTGAACATAGTACAAAATTCCAATACAAAAACGTATACAATGCAGATGAAGTTGCTTTTTTTAACCACAATTATGTTTATTCCTCTAGAAACAGTATACCATCTTTTCAATTTTCAAAATGTTATTATCAATTACCTGCAGATTACTCTCATTAAGCTGATTTTTAAAAATCTCAGATCAGAGCATTTCACCAGCACCGTCATCAAGCAAGCTACAAATCTCTCCTGTACCAGAGTAAGGAGACACTTAAGATCAAGCCAAGATAAGAGCTTTCGGTGTTGTTTACAGAAGGGGTATTCACATTCATTTGTCACACATTTCAGGGCCTCATATCCCCCTTTTACATTATCTAACTCCTAGCCCAGTTTCTTTTTGTAGTCTGAAAACAAGGAATCACCCAAGAGAGATATTCCTTCAGAGCACTGTTGAAAATGGATCAGACATGGAGATCCCCCAGATCCCTGTTCTCAAGTGTTAATAATATTTTATTTTCGCACATAGAATGCCCTTAGATATATTGTTATGTTCTAAAGAGTCTGTGTTTCCCCCTTCTTGATGATGTCTTCAATTTCTTCTGAGGCCTTTCCTGTAGAGTCAATTGGTTCTATTTCTTTTAACTTCTCTTGATACTCCAGTGGCAAACCATTTCCTTTTGCACCCATGCAAATAATCTTTTTATACTGTGGGGATGGAGGAACACTTTCATAATTTGTTATCAGATAATTTCGACAGGTTATTTCTCTTCCTTCTCGAGTTGAAACTTTAACTTCCATTACAACATATGTTCCACTTTTAACCCCTTCTTGCCTGCACAGGGGCCAGACAGAAGAATGCCACCAAGGGGTGTCCAAGGTGGATCTTCTCCATCAGCAGGTTGCTGCCGTAGGCGAAGTACAGAAAACTCTCCTCATCAGGGTCGGACGTCCTTGCAGCTCGAGTTCGCCATGTCCCACTACACGCCCACACGGGAGCCTGAAGCAGAGCTGTGAGGGGCGGCTCCGGCCCTGGTCCAGTGGCTGCCTTGCCGTCGCCTCCAGGAAGTTGCTCTTTTTTTTTTTTTGAGATGGAGTTTCGCTCTTGTTACCCAGGCTGGGGTGCAATGGTGCGATCTCCGTTCACGGCAACCTCCACCTCCTGGGTTCAGGCAATTCTCCTGCCTCAGCCTCCTGAGTAGCTGGGATTACAGGCACGCGCCACCATGCCCAGCTAATTTTTTGTTTTTTGTTTTTAGTAGAGACGGGGTTTCACCATGTTGACCAGGATGGTCTCGATCTCTTGACCTCGTGATCCATCAGCCTCGGCCTCCCAAAGTGCTGGGATTACAGGCGTGAGCCACCGCGCCTGGCCGGAAGTTGCTCTTTTACTTCATTCCTCAACAGTTCAGATCCTCTCACCAGGGCAACCACTGTTTTTGGATTCTTGTGCCAGGATATGTTATTAAGTTTTTTAAAAAGGTGACAACAGCATATGATTTTATACGTGTAAAATTTAGATTACATATATATTTGCAGGTGTGGGTTTGTATACAATCTGTGTATTATGTTATACATATACACAATACAATATATAAAATCAATATATATTTTCTGAAGACAGACTGATAACTCCATGAATTAATGAATAATTTCCCCGTCAGTCAGATGGGGAATGGGCTTTTTATTTTCCATCTTTCTTCATTGAATATTTACCATATGCATTTTCACTTGATGTTTAATCTTTTTATTTATTTAAAGTAGGTACTAGGATGTAGGGAGGTAGAGGAACCAGTTTGGACTAGACGCTAAAGAACTTTGGCAGAAAGGTATGAGATCCAACAATAGCTTGAGGGAATAGGAGGGTTGAGAAAAAGTATCTCTCGTCTGAGCCTTGACTATGTTTGTTTTCGTTTTCTTTTTACAGAGGAAGCAACTAGTTGAAGGGGGAAAATATGAGAGAGAGAGACGACAGAAAGAGGATGCTTGATGGAGCAAAGTCACTGATAGCCCTGAAGAAGGGGACAGAGGGGGTTGACCTCGGAGAAGAGGGGTGCATCTTCAGAGGGAGCATGGGGTGGGAGGGGACAGACGGAGGGTGCCAAGCTGAGGCTGGGCAAGCTAACCCACCACAGTGCAAGCCCAAGGGGACGAGGGATGCCAGACTCTGGACACGTGGCTGAAACAGGTAGCCATGGGTTTCTGGCTACAGAGGAGGTGAGTGGAGCCAGGAGAAGAAGAGGAGAGAGCAGAGTGGGAAGGGATTAAGTCAAGATGAAGACAAAAAACTGGTTCCATGCCAGGGTTTAAAAAAAGCAATAGCCAGGTGAGGTGGCTCACGCCTGTAATCCCAGCACTTTGGGAGGCCGAGGTGGGTGGATCACGAGGTCAAGAGATCGAGACCATCCTGGTCAACATGGTGAAACACCATCTCTACTAAAAATACAAAAAAAATTAGCTGGGCATGGTGGCACGTGCCTTTAATTCCAGCTACTCGGGAGGCTGAGGCAGGAGAATTGCCTGAACCCAGGAGGCAGAGGTTGCGGTGAGCCGAGATCTCGCCATTGCACTCCAGCCTGGGTAACGAGCAAAACTCCGTCTCAAAAAAACAAACAAACCAAAAAGCAATAATATTTTTTAAAGGTTATGCTCAGTGACAGGAAATTCAGGCTCTCGGTGTCATGAAATTCAATAGGCACTTGGTGGCTGCTGGGCTGCATAACTAAATTTAGGTAGCAATGTCAGCCATGGTGAAACAAAACAGTAAAAGTTAAACAAACACTTTCAAGCTTTTGGGAAACGTAATTTTGGTTAACATGTCCCCGCAATTAAATGAGGTCTAGTTAATCAGAGGAGCAGTACTTCCGGAAGAAAACAAGTTGCCTAGGCTGACAATTTCACAATGCAACAAAACATGACATCAACACTTTATTAATACCAGGTGTAAGAGTATACACCTGCCTTCTACAGACGTAACAGCAACATTCACACACCTGCTTTCAGAGAAATTAAACAAGAGCTGAGATGCTCAAAGGAATTGAATCACCTGGGGATAGAGCATCTTTAATTAGAAAGGACAGCTTGTCCCACCCAGAAATAATCGCTGGGCTCATGCATAGATGGAGCTGTCACTTGAAATGACTTGTCAAAAGAGCTTGAGGTAAAACTAAAACTGAAACTGAAAAGTAAAACTCTGAGCTAATAATTATTGACCCACATCTCCAGAATGTTGAGAAAATGAATCAGGAGGAAACAATAGCCACTTAGCCCTTCCTCACCCAAGAATCCTCTCTGCCATTTCTTTCCATCCAGCAATTTTTCTGTGTGTAATAACTTTCAGCTTTCATATTTTATGACTGCTCCACAGAATATGAGATTCAATTATAGGACTCTCACACAGATAGATAAGAAGTGTACTTGTGACAAAATGTTCTCCAGTGGGCTTCTGGCTAATACATTTTTGGCACATCCAAATTATGAAAGACGACACAGTTGTTGATAAAACCAAGGAAGGTATGTGCTGAGTATTCTGTGTCTAAAATCAAAGTGGGCTGGGTGCAGTGGCTCATGCCTGTAATCCCAGCACTTTGTGGGGCCGAGGTGGGTGGATCATTTGAGGTGAGATCAAGACCAGCCTGGCCCACGTGGTGAAACCCCATTTCTACTAAAAACACAAAAATTAGCTGGGTGTGGTGGTGTGCTCCTATAATCCCAGCTACTTGGGAGGCTTAGGCAGGAGAATTGCTTGAACCCGGGCGATGGAAGTTGCAGTGAGCTGAGATCATAGCACTGCACTGTAGCCTGGGTGACAGAGTGAGACTCCATCTCAAAAAAAAAACTTACAAAAAAACAAGAACAAAGTGCGAAACCATGTGTATAAGACAATCTCTTTTGTATGGATATAAAAATCTAGAGTATGAAAGCATTACATACGTGCGTGTGTATGGTTATAGATGAATTAGATCGAGCTGTGTATCCTAATATAAAAAAATCTCCAAGCAAAAAACATACTAAGTTTGTTAATTTGCAAAGTAATATCTACATCTAAAAAATGAAAAGTAAAAAAATACACGTGCATGGAAGTGTGTGCTGTGCCGTGTGGACTCCTAGACAGGGGACTGGGAGGAGGCACAGGCAGCTATGTGCAGTGTGACCTTGTGGAAGAGTGAACTGGAGTGGGATGGTGCAGTTTCCAGCTTTGCTCTGTAGACTTCTATATTATTTGAAGCTTATACAATCAGGATATATTCATATATGACTTATGTAAGAACATAAAGAAAAACAGCACCAGAAATGAAAACTATGTAATCAACTCTTCGAGGTCTTCATGAGAAACTGAAGAACCAGAAAAGTGGTAATACACACATGAAATGACACAGTCCAGGTCTACTAGTCAAGAGCATACTGGGAAACAGGGGACAGAAAGTTTGGTAGTCGTGGCAGACCCAAGTATCTTAGTTCTGCAGATGTGAGGAATACCAGAGAGCTGTGAAGAGACTGAGCTTGAAAGTCCATCTCAAAGGACTTTGCTCTACAGCAGGGATGTGGCAGTGGGGAGGGGGAAGAAAACAGGCTGTCTTTGTGTGGCTGGTGATACCTAACTGCTGGAGCATGAGATGTCCCCAGGCCCTGTGCTGTAGCTGACATGCAGAAATGGGCATTGACACTGGCAAAGGCCAGTCTGCATGTGACAGAAGCAGCAGATGATCATAAATGGAGGGGGCTTTCTGACAATGACACCATCATCCCACAGGGAAGGAACATCTGACTCTTGGCTCACTAAGATGCTGCCAGAGCAGCTGGTCTCATAGGGGGAAACCACAGTTCCTGATGGAAAGTCTTCATGACGCAGCCTCCAAGGTCCTTCTGCTCAAGGGAAGAGCTCTGCTTGCCCGGTTCTATCTGGATTCCTGAAAACCCTCAGACACAGGGCAAGCTGAGGAAGGAAGGCAACGAGTCAGTCTTCTGAATCCCCTATAAAAATCTGGGAAAGGTAGCTTTTGACATTGAGGGTTGGAAATATTGGTATTGAGGGTTGGAAATATTGTTACAGAGGATGCTGACTGGGGAGATTTGGAGCCAACCGTGGGACCGGCCTGTCCATTACAATAGAACCAACAGGGCAACCTGGAGTGACACAGGCTAATCCAAACCAGCCCCACTGATCCCCTGTCCTGCCCAGGACTTCACTGCTCCAGGAGTAAGCAGTCTCATGTCTCAGTAGCAGGAAGGAAGTCTTTGACCTCACAGCAAGTAAAGCTGGTCAAGGAACAGAAGAGAGATGAGAGGGATCCATCTCCGCAACAAAGGGAAGGCAGAATGGAAGAGGGGGTCCAGGTCTTGCCAGCTGAGGCGATGGGGACATATGGCAGAGCTGTGGAAACCCTGGGCCACCACTCTGCAGCGTCCCCAAAGCCTGCTGTGCTACTCTTTGGCTGCCCTGCCCCTCTGCATCCCATCTGGCTACCAAGGCAAAAGGGTCTCTGCTGGTTAGGCTAGTGCCAGCCATGCTCCCTCTAATGCCTAAGCGAGGGTCCCTGGGGCCTCCACCTCAGTATCTGGGATACCACGAGAGGAACCCAGGAGGTGAAGGGCCCGATACACAAGCAGGGGATTTGGGCATGCAACTATGTTGGCCTGGAGACTGTGGGGAGCATAGAAGGTTGGAGAATGCACAGCAGGTGTTGATGTGAGGCTGGGCAATTGGGAAATGAAGACTGGGGTTGCAAACCCAACCCATGGTACAGAGGAAACACAACACCTTAGGCCTTTACGAAACCAGTTCTCAACCTGTCTGCACAAGAGCATCTTTTGGGAAGCTTTAAAAATACATGTCTGGGCCTCAACCCGGAACAACTAAATTGGAAACGTGGAGGTCCTCTTGGAATTATGCTCCTACATGAGATCTTTCTTCCTCAGAGGAAAACCCACTCAAAGATGTCTCTTCCATCTTTGCTGGGAGGCAGAAAATTCACTTTGCACACAGGCTTCTCTGCCAAGTGTCGGGAAACTTACCTACCCTGTGAGGTGCTGTTTCACTATAAAATTTACTCCCCTGGCTGGGCACGCGCCTGTAATCCCAGCACTTTGGGAGGCCAAGGCGGGTGGATCACGAGGTCAGGAGTTTGAGACCAGCCTCGCCAGCATGGTGAAAACTCATCTCTTCTAAAAATACAAAAAATTAGCAGGGCATGGTGGTGCATGCCTGTAGTCCCAGCTACTTGAGAGGTTGAGACAGGAGAATTGCTTGAACCCATCAGGTGGAGGTTGCAGTGAACCAAGTTTATGACACTGCACTCCAGCCTGGGTGACAGAGCGAGACTCTGTCTCAAAAAAAAAAAAAAAATTTTACTCCCCTGTGACATTCAATCTAGGAAACTAAGTCTCAGGGACCTTGCCTCCCTTTGAATGTTTCCCTATTTATTTATGGAAGGTGTCTTCTGCCACGTGAAACACAAAGTTTTGCTAGGAGGAGGGTGTAGCAGAGTGCTGGGTTAATGCTGCGTGGAGCTGCTTTGCCGTGTAGGCAACATCCTCAACCCGCTTAGGTCATGAACAGGCCTTTGTGTTCTGAGTTCTGGATTCCCTGGTCCTGGGTGTAGCATGGGCAAATGCTAAGCTCTTTTGCTTTTTAGAATGGAAATGTTGTTTTGAAATGTAAGCTGGAGAGAGGTAGGGGATAGCAACCAGGCTTTGAGAAGAGGAAGGGAGTGGCCTGGTTCTGATGGCAGACAGAGGGTGGCCAGTCTTGAGCGGTGGGGACTTGCATGCCACTCACCACCCAGCACCCTAGCTGAGATATACATCTCAGGTGAACTGAGTAAACTGAGGCCATAGATACCTGGGGATGAGACCCAGAGTCTCAGGAACTGGGAGCCAAGTAAAAGGGTTGAGGACCTTGCCTGACCAGGAGATGGTGGGGGCCACCAGAGGAGCCTGCAGGTGGGGGCATTGTCCTAGGGGCCTGGACAATGAGCAGCTCACTGGCTACCATGCTGCACCAAAGTCCACTGCCCAATGTTCCTTAATGGTAGAAACTCTAGGACTCTAGACCTCTCTGTTCTTCCCAAGAGAGGGGCAACATGACTGGGGACTTGGTCAGATTTAATTTTCTTCAGAGAAATTAAGAAATGTGGCAATTCTTCTTCTTCTTTTTTTTTGAGACAGAGTCTCACACTGTTGCCAGGCTGGAGTGCAATGGTGTGATCTCAGCTCACAGCAACCTCCACCTCCTGGGTTCAAGGAGAATTCCTGCCTCAGCCTCCCAAGTAGCCAGGACTACAAGTGTGCGCCATCACATGCAGCTAATTTTTGTATTTTTGGTAGAGATGGGGTTTCACCATGTTGGCCAGGATGTTCTCAATCTCTTGATCTCGTGATCCACTGGCCTCAGCCTCCCAAAGTGTTGGGATTACAGGTGTGAACCACTGCGCCAGGCTGAAATGTGGCAATTCTTATGCTCTAGGGTAGTGGAGTGATTCACATGACCTATATAGATTTGTTGGTTTAAGCAAATCATTGAGGGAGGGCGTTTCCATCCAGTGCTTTGAAAAAGAGGGTAGAATTCAGAATTAAAGTCTGGTGTGTGGCATGAAAAAGCCCAACAGAGCCAAAGGGGTGATGGAGGATAGCCAGGAGAGGAGACCCTGGTAGTAGGTGTTCAAAAAGGAACTTTGGGACCAGCAATTGCTGGCGTTTTCTGTGGTATATGGATCTTAAGCCCTTTTCCTCCTCTAGGGCATCTTCAGTCAAGTTGAAACTGGTTCCCCATTGCTTACATGTGATGGCTTCTCTTACCCCAATTCCTTCTTGGCAATTTTTAAAAGCAGCTCTGATTTATTGTTACAAAAACTCCTATAAAAATGTGTACCCCTAGCTTCAGTTCCTCTCACCAAAGGCAGCAGCTGTTACCAGTTTCTTGTGTCTCCTTCTGGGGATGCCCTTCCTGTATTTTTTCTTAAACAGTATCATTTCTGCTGCTGTTCCGCCCCAGCCCTGCTCACTTCAAAATCGACCTTGAGCAGATGTACCCCTAACCCATCTTTAGGATGCTACTCACGATTCCATTTGGTGAACGTTCCCTCATACATTCAACCAGTCTCCTGTTCTGGAGTTTCCAGCATGACTTTCCTTTCTGTGGAGTGTGTTCTTTTGGAGAACCCAGAGGTACCTGGGGACTCAGGAGCTTGAGGTCAGAGGACCCAGAGAATTGAAATCCTGAGGAATTGTTAATATTGGGGAGCTTTGGGGTTTCCCTGGCCAAGGTATTGGAGTTTTGAGGTGATACTGAAAATATCTGAAGGGTTGATATTTCAGTTTTTTCCATCCTCTGAATCCCAGAAATTTCTAGACTAAGCTCCCCTTACATGCATGAGTGCAGGAATGAAGAGAATGCACCTTTATAAGCCCCACAGTCTGACCCAGAGGCTCTCCATAAAATTTGATTGAATTGAATACACCTTATCTGTTGTGAACAAAAGTATAGCATTTGTTGCACAGTTATTTTTCCTCCTCTGAATCTTCCAGTAGAGAATGGCGATCCTTGCAAAGATCTTCCTCTAAGTTTTGGGAATCAGCAGATGGTGTTAGACATGCACTTAATCTGCTTTTTCCTTCTCCCAACTCTGGCCCCATCTGTGTTAGGCCCTGCTGTTTTGCTGGGCTGAGCAGCGCTCCTGCCTTTCAACATCCGGCTGAAGGCTCTGACCGGTGAGCACTGATCGACGGGAGGTGTTGGCAGCACTTTAAGATCCCTGCCATGTCATTGTGTTCCTCTTCTGACATAGGCAAGAGCAGTATTGCTCCAGCTGGGTGTTGGCTGCTTCCAGAACTGGGTCAGCGTTCGGGAATTATGAAACCGGGTGCCTCATTTCCTCATGATCCAAACAACGAATAAAAAGTCCCTCAGGAGGAACAGGTGGGTGGCTGCCATATAGACATCAGCTGGGTATCCTTATAGCTGGAGTTTGAGATGAGCAAAGGGTGACGCCCTTTGATAGCAACTTAATGCACACGGGGCATTATTCAGACACACAGTGACACACCCGGCTGTTGTTAGCCTCTTGGATTATTCCATCCCTTGTTCTGAGAGCAAGGCCAGCCCCACCATGATGATGCAATTAGTTGGGAGGAAGGTTTACATACAAGAAAGGAGAAAGAGAATGATGCAATCTCCGTTTCTGTTTCTTCCTCACCTAGTTGAATTCTATGGCAACATTAGCAGAAACACTAGATCCTAGCTCAGGCTTCCCAGTTGTTGTGGTGGGAGAGGTGCCCCCAGGAAGTGTTACAGGACTCCTAGAAGTACACACAGGGCTAATGCTAGCCTGCAACTCACCAGCATGAGCTAAGGACCAGCGACTGTTCTGATTGGTTGGGGCCAACGCTATCTGAGGTGTTAACATTTTAAATATGTCAGGTGTGTTCTGATATTACATTTAATATTACATAACCATCTTATATATGGAAAATAAAGGAGGGGATGTCTTTTGTAATTCAAACTACAGGAACTGGTAGTATGGAGAAATTTTGCCATTGGCAAAATCCACTGGCAAGTGAGATGCAGAAATGCAAATATCACAATGGGAGGAAAGAAATCCTGGGACCATCCCAGCATTTGGGACAGTGGTAATAAGAATTTTGCACTATCAGGACACATGAGTAAAATATGATTGAGAAACACTACTTTGATACCAGCAGGGGTGATACCTGAAGAAAACCCCTGCAATAAATCTGTGCATGCTGTTGATGGGTGCTGCGTTGTCAGACATAGAGATTGAAATCACTCAGCCTTGTGGTCATGGGGAGTGCCAGCAGCCTTCCGAGTCTTTGGTGCCCTGGTTTGTTCTTGCCATTCTGTGACTTCAGGCTCCTGTGCTGGAAAAGGGCTTCCTGAAGTAGAGGGCACTACAGTGTGGTGGGCAAGGGTGTGGCTTCAGTCAGCCAGATCCAGTCCCCGCTCCTTGGCTGCCACCCACTGGCCACAGAATGCAGGCCAGTGACTTCATCTCTCAGGCCCCCAGTTTCCTCTTTGGTGAGGGTCATAGGACTCACCGCAGAGGAGGAGAGAGGAGAGAGGAGAGAGGAGAAGCATTTGAGATGATACACTAGTAACACGTTTTCCACAGGACCTGGCCTAGCGTAGGTGCTTAGTAAGGGGTAGCTGGCACTGCCAGTGCACAGGAGCGAGAGGGCCTGAGTTCCACTGTAGCCACAGAAGAGGAGGCAGAACTGCCGTGAAGGTTGAGAACTGAATGATCAGGCAGAATGGCCCTGAGGAAGCAGTGAGACTTCTGAATCTTCGAACATTTCCCAGTCCTCAGTGAATCTCCAGTCCTGATAAAGAAAAAATCTTGTTTCTTGTTTTTGGGAATGTCAGAAGTAGCTGAAGGGAAGATGTGTCCTATGCCTGTTAAGTGCACCACTCGCATAGAGACCCCGCTCCAAACAGGCTTTGTCTGAGCAACATGGCTGTTTATTCACCAGTGTGGCAGGCGGACTGAGTCAGAAAAGGGAGTCAGCAGAGGGCAAGGGGATAGGAGTTGGCTTTATAGGTTGGGGCAAGTGGTCAGTTAAAGGTGGTAACCTATTTTAGGGAGAGGAAGGGCATCACAGGATGCATGGTCACAAGTAAGGGGTCACCTATTACAAACAGGCGTGATCATAAGGGTGGCGGTTATCAGTTGCTAGCAGAGGGGAGGGTGAGGTAAATTACATTGCATAGGTACAGGGGTGGGGTCCTGAGAAGCCCAATGTCCAGCAGGGAAGCTTCACAAGGCTGAGCAGGAACAATGGTTGCAGGTTGCAGGGGCAGAGCGATTAGTTGAGGCAGGAACAAGTTGTTTCACTTCTTTCTGTGCCCACCTGCTTACTTGTGGTTCAGACTTTCTGGCTCCTGGGGACCATCCGGAGGAGTACGTGCGGGTCACCAAGGCTATAATGGCCAGGTTTGGACTTGGCGGCCTGACAATGCCTAGCCAGAGTTAGGAGAAGAGAAAACACCTAGGAACCAGAGGCAACAACAAAAAAAAAGGTAGCTAACAGTCAGCCAAGACTCCAGGTCTGTCCCCAGGGGCGTGGCTAGCAAGAAGCCTCTGGCAATTCCTGACACAGTGGTTCTGGGAAGTTGATTTACCCAATAGGCTTCCGGAAAGAGCTCAGTTTAAGTTTGTGGCTTACTACAAATAAACATTTGTTCAATGAACACAAATGAATGGGCAGGCTAGCTTGGCTAATAGTGTCTAATATTTAGCTACTCTAAAGCCCTCCAAAGGTATCAGGTGTGCCTTGTCCACTAGCACAGAGAGTCGCAGAGCTGCGTAGGTGAAGGGAGTACACAGCTGTGGTTTGACCTGCTCAGTGTCCCTTCTTCCTGAAACAGAACCTATCTTTTCCTCCTGGGGAGCCACCCCTCCCCACTCATAGTCCTTGGCGTAGGATCCATCTTTGAAGACTCAGTTCTACCAGGAGGTAACCTCTGGTAAATTCTCAAATCCCAGTGTCAGGGTTAGGCATGCGATCAAAGCAATACATCCAAAGAGGGGCTCGAGAGGCAATTTGAGTCACTGAGATGCAACTCAATACCTGGATCCCCTGGGCCAGAGGTGCTCTCTTGCTAGAGAACTTTAAGTTTGTCTATCTGCAATTGTTGGGGTTTTGCCTTCTCTCCAAGAAAGCATGAGTGAGGATGAAGACAACAGGATGAAGCTCAGACAAGAGAGGGAGAGATGGATTCCTCCTGACACAATTTGAGCTCCTCCTTCTTCAGCTGAGCATGAGCCGGCCCTGAATTTTCCCATTGCCTGGGCTTGTAAATTTTCTTTGTGCTTAAGTGGGTTTGAGGTGGGCATCGTTCACCTAAATACATCGGGACACTGAGAGGATACCTTCTGTTTTTTCTTCACCAGCAGAGAGGAAGAGCAACTCAGTTCTCCATGTGATCTGAATTATAGATTTCATAGTGCTTTTCAAGAGTTAGCCTCTGAACTGACTTTTGGTCTTTCCAACTCAGGTGCTTGACTCAAGCTCTAGTCTGAAATAAATTCCACATTTTATAAAATAAGGAGGAAACACAAGTTGGTGAGGAAGCATCAACATTTTATAATAAGATTGGTTTTTATAAAGCTTGCTAAACATCCGCCTGTGTATCCACTGCTGAGCTGGGATTATCATCTCCAGGATGGAGTACTGTCTTTTTCTTAACTGCCTGGGAGCCATTCTGAAAAACAGTAGTAAATAACTTTGTCAAAAGATGGAGAAGATTCATCTGGACAATGAAAATGAGCATTCTATTATCTTTCAAAGTCTATGAGTATGAGTGTGGGGTTTAGTGAGTATTAAATATGGTTTGTCTGTGTCTCTGGCAAGAGGATATAATTTCTCTGAATAGAACCTGGGCAGCAAATATAAATTGTCTTTAGGTTCATGTAGTTTGACAAACATGCTTTTCTAACCTGTGGGTCAGATGGAGATGTGGTTCTTTCTTTTCCCCTGCAGACACCCTGTTTTCCCTTTCTATTAGTCCACTTTCACACTGCCATAAAGAATACCTGTGACTGGGTAATTTATTAAAAAAAAAAAAAGAGGTTTAATTGACTCACAGTTCAGCATGGCTGGAGAGGTTGCAGGAAACTTACAATCAAGGTAGAAGGCAGAGGGGAAGCAAGGCGTGTCTTACATGGCAGCAGGAGAGAGGGGTAGCAAGTGAAGGGGAAGTGCTGTACTTTTTTTGTTTGTTTACTTGCTTGTTTTTAAGATGAGTCTCACTCTATTGACCGGGCTAGAGTGCGGTGGCGTGATCTCAGTTCACTGCAACCTTCACCTCCCAGGTTCAAGAAATCCTCCCACCTCAGCCTCCCAAGTAGCTGGGGTGCCTGGAGTCTGCCACCACACCTGGCTAATTTTTGTATTTTTAGTAGAGATGGAGTTTCACCATGTTGTCCAGGCTAGTCTCAAACTCCTGACCTCAAGTGATTCACCCTCCTCAGCCTCCCAAAGTGCTGGGATTACAGGCATGAGCCACAATGCCCGGCTGGGAAGTGTTAAACTTTTAAATCATAAGATCTCCTAAGAACTCACTCACTATCACAAGAACAGCATGGGGAAACCACCTTCATGATCTAGTCACCTGTTACAATTCCAGATGAGATTTGGGTGGGAACACAAAGCCAGACCATATCACCCTTCTCCCACATATCCAAAATGCTCCCTACCTTTTCAGTTCAAGGCATGTGTGAGCTTGGCAAAGTTCCCAAAGTGCTTCGGTGATCTCATCAGTAAAATGAGCAGCTTCGACTGGATCAGTGGTTCCAATGTAAAAAGAAGGAGTAGGGTTCTTTGTTCAAACAGAGCTTAAACAGGACCCCCATAAAGTAAACATATAAAACTGGAGCTGTTGAAATGTGGTTGAGACCTGGGAGCCTCCTTGATTGGCTTCAAGGAAGGCTTTTGAGGTAACTTTATGAGCTGTTAAGACTCAGATGAACGGCTGGGTGCAGTGGCTCATGCCTGTAATCCCAGCACTTTGGGAGGCCAAGGAGGTTGGATGACAAGAGGTCAGGAGTTTGAGACCAGCCTGGCCAACTTGGTGAAACCCAGTCTCTGCTAAATATACAAAAATTAACCAGGCATGGTGACAGGCACCTGAAGTCCGAGCTACTCAGGAAGCTGAGTCAGGAAAATCTCTTGAACCCAGGAGGTGGAGGTTGCAGTGAGCTGAGATTGCACCACTGCACTCCAGCCTGGGTGACAGAGCAAGATTTCATCTAAAAAAACCAAAAAAACAAAACAAAAAAAGACTCAGATGAACTATTTCAGAGCCTCAGACCAGATGTTCTCCAAGATGTTTTCCAGCTCCAAACATTGCAGTCCTGTTTTTAAGTGCCACATCTTCCATGAAGCCTTTTAAATACTCTGGCTCATGCAAATTGCTTCTTTTTCTGTGCCACTTAGCATTTGTGACTATGCACACATACTTTCCATGTTTGTAAAGGGAACCACGTATGGAGATTGTCTTTCTTTGAAGCTTGTACCTCTTTCGTTTCTTTTGGGAAATGACTCAGAACTGACTAGTAAGTTACAGAATGTAACTGAAAGAACGCCAGGAAATAGGGAGAGAAATTTTGTTCACAGCTCAGGGGAAGGTCTGCCCTCCTGGGTAAGTTGCCTCTGCTGGCAAATGCTGAGCTGCTAGCCCAGAGCAAATACTATCTGGATAGATATGAAACATGGGTACCAGGCACAGCTCGGCAGACACAGACTTAAGGTCCCCATACTTGGTCCTTCTCCCAGATCTTTTTTTCCTGGTGCTCATGTTGGCCAAGCTGTGGTATTTGGAAGGCCATGGAAGGTGTCTGCATAGCCTCATCTTTCAGCATTACTGGGCCAGCCCCTGCGGTAAGTGGTTAGGTTACTACTGAAGACACCATTGGGGGAAAATCCCGGGTCTGTCTCTACTACCCCACCTGACTTAGTTATTTTCTTTCCACTGTGGGTTGAGTTCTGCTTTCCTGTATAGTGGGCTTTTCTACTATCAGCCTCACTCTGGGGTTCTGTGTAAATTTTAGGGAGCTTAGAAACATACCTCACACTGGCTGTGGTTTTTGCAAGACCAGCCAAATTCAGTGGGACCTGCCCGAGGACAATATGCAGTGAACAGGTTCTGGAGGCTCAGGAAGCGACATTATGGCTGGAGCACCACCTAGTGGCAGTGAAGAACAGTGCGTGTGATGAATGAACGATCTTTCCAATGAAATGTAAATGGGTAAATATTAATAGTAAGTTAAATCGCTTTCAGGGATTCCCTTTTTCCAAAAACAATGCAATTTAAAATATGCTTTAAAGCAAAAGCCATAGTGGACATAATTTTTAGTCTTTTGCTGATTATCCCAAAGATATCAGTGTCACCATAATGAAGACTAATTATAGAGTTCTCAGTGATAAGATGCTTAATACTAGCCTGTAAATGATTGCTACCATTTACAGAAGGAACTAGGAGAAAAATGTGTCTAGTTCAGCGGAAATTCACTTCTGAAAATAAGTCAGTTTGCCATAGATCTTTTAGAATATTGAATCTTAGAATCCTTGTGTTGTGAAAAGTCTCAAGGATACACTAGTCCTGTACTGAACATTTTCTTAGCCATGGAACTCTTTCTTCTAGTAAAATATTATTCTGCCACCTATATTACCTTTAAACGTTTAGAGCTGTCAACAAGGGAAGCCATGCAGTTGTCTATATGCTTGAATTTGATGTACATATGAGATACAGCTTATGCTGTGGTCATACTGAGCTTTCCTACAAACTTACTAAAACATTTTTAAAAATCACCTCTAAAGGAGTCATCTTCAGAGGCAGTACTTTTATGCCAGTAGAACCGTCACTGACCAAGACAATTTGGGGACTTCTTTTTTTTTTTTTTTGAGACGGGGTTTTGCTCTTCTTGTCCAGGCTGGAGTGCAGTGGTGAGATCTCGGCTCACTGCAACTTCCACCTCCTGGGTTCAAGTGATTTTCCTGCCTCAGCTTCCTAGTAGCTGGGATTACAGGCACGTGCCACCATGCCTTGCTAATTTTTTGTATTTTTAGTAGAAACAGGGTTTCACCATGTTAGCCATGTTAGTTCATGGCTGGTCTTGAACTCCTGGCCTAAGGTGATCCTCCCACCTTGACCTCCCAAAGTGCTGGGATTACAGGTGTGAGCCACTGCACCTGACCATGACTTCTCTTTTAAAATGGCTTTTGTGTTAGTTTATAATGAAAATCATATTGCATTACTTTGGGTCCTACTTGTTTGGAACAAAAAAACTGCATTACACAGCTCAGCCAACTTTCTTAATTACCAAATTTATCAGATATCTTCTATTTCCCCAAACTAAGTCTCTCCAAAGGTAAGAAGACACTGGTCACAGATTTTGCAGTACATCACTGTGCCTTTCAAACTCTGGGAGATGGTTTACCCTTGAAAGAGCTCAAGGTGAAGGCTTTTGAATGGTTTGCAGACGCAAGGAGAGGGATAGATGGGCAAACAAGTGCAATTCATTTTCTATTAGAAAATATTCCTCTAATTTCTGATTAGAAAAGTTTTAAAGTGATGTAGAAGGTAAGACTAGGGCGAGTGGGTGTGGGTAGTGAGAATGAGAACGTCTGTAACGGGGACTTTTAAAAGACTCGCTCCTTCAGAATGGTATTGGTATAATGTGTGTGATTGTAGAGATAGACTTGGTTCCTATGACAACATATGTAAAAAAAAAGGTAAATATTCCTATTTTTTTCATGAAATATCCAACATTTACAAAGCAGTTTGCAAAGGTTAAAGTCAGATCGCAAGTTAAACCTAGTGTGTAGTCATAGTACTTATACAGAGTACTCTTTGAATTAGTATTTGTTCATTTAATTTAGCTGAAATTGTAAACAACTTTATAAGTATAATTTTAATAACAAATTATTTTAAATAGGCAACATACACATCAACAATTGGTTCCGAATCTGTGCCATGCTTGCTGGCTGAGAAGAGAGGTTAAGAGTGTGGGCTCTGACTTCCCAGGATTGAATTCTAGCTTGACCTTGGGCAAATAATACCTCAGTGCCTTAGTCTCCAGCTCTGGGAAATGAGGATGATAATAATTGCACCCCTTAAAAAGTTGTTTTGAGGAATGGCAAAGAGCATGTTCTGCTTACAGGAGCATTTTTCAAGGACAGATCATAACTGACTATTGTGTTTCTCCAGGCTGACTCCAAACCAGCAGAAGCTAAATAAATAACCATGAACTTGGAATGACTGTGGGATATGAGGTCCTAACTGAAGACTTTTTCCCAAACACTGAGCAATGGTGTTTCTTTTAACCAACTCTATTTAGCCCTTCAGATTCATTCTGTTCTTTTCAAAGTAATGGATTTCAACTCTTAATAAGCAATAACCACATGAACCTGCCCTGGCAAGCCTTTAACAACTCTTGAGTTTTCCCTCTCAGTGAGTTACTACCTAACTCAGTACATTTCTCCCTAGCCTGTATTCCTGTGGCCAGCAAGTCAATAGACTCAGCTTTTACTTTATTTTGAGACAGTGTTGCTCCGTTGCCAGGCTGGAGTACAGTAGCTCCATCTTGGCTCACTACAATCTCTGTCTTCCGGGTTCAAACGATTCTCCTGCCGCAGCCTCCCAAGTAGCTGTGATTACAGGCGTGTGCCACCACACCCAGCTAATTTTTGCATTTTTAGTAGAAACAGTTTTACCATGTTGACCAGGCTGGTCTTGAACTCCTGACCTCAAGTGATTCACCTGCCTTGGCCTCCCAAAATGCTGGCATTACAGGCATGAGCCATCATGCCCAGCCTCAACTTTAAATTTTTATCTATTGATCTAGTCTATTATTACCCACCACCTATCACCATCCATCCATTCATCCGTCCACCCATCCTTTTTTTGTTTATTAGCTCTGGTCTTTGTTTTATTTGTTGATAGGCCCAAGAAAATTAGTATATGTAAAACTCACTTAGAACAGTGCTGAGCACATGGTAAGCATAATATGTGATAGCCCTTATGATCTATTAACTCATCAGTATCTCCTGTGTATTAGAAGAACAATGTGTCACTGAAATGTTTTAATTATATCTCTATAAAAGCATACATAAATTTATATACATATAAAAGCATACATATATTTATATGATAATATATAAATCTCAATAATAGAATGTTTCTAACCCAAGTTTTAAGTAATGATGTGTGTTCAGGAATACTTCATCTGGCATCTAGGGAAATGGCTGGGAAGATTTTGAGCTTCTCCAGTGGGAAAAAGGCTAGCATATTCAGGTCTAAGTTCAGAGTTGGAGACTTTGAACTTAACAAATTGAGAGTTTTTAATTTTGAATAAAACAAAACTATTTTTTTTTAGCTTGAACAAAGACTATTCTGATTCTCTTCAGCTTCAACTTAAGAACTTTTTTTTGAGACAGAGTCTTGCTCTGTTGCCCAGTCTGGAGTGTAATGGCTTAATATTGGCTCACTACAACCTCCACCTCCTGGGTTCAAGTGATTCTCCTGTCTTGGCCTCCCAGGTAGCTGGGATTACAGGCACCTGCCACCACACCCGGCTAATTTTTGTATTTTTGTATAGATGGGGTTTCACCATGTTAGCCAGGCTGGTTTTGAACTCTGGACCTCAGGTGATTCACCTGCCTTGGCCTTCCAAAGTGCTGGGATTACGGTGCCTGGCTGAACTTAAGAATTTTAAAAATTATAACTCTGAGCTTTTTAAGGAAACAGGGTTAAGAGGTAGTTTGTTGGCAGACGGGCATCAGCAAGGTCTGTTTCGAAAACTCAGCATATGAGCACACATGCACTCAGCCTTGGCCTTGCGCTGTAAAATTTTGGCACAGTACACAAGCATGGGCTTTTGTTGTCAAGGAAATAGCTTTGTTTCTCTGAGGAAGGAGATATTGACGACACTTCTTTGTAGGTGATCACTGAGCAAGGTCGTATTGTTTCCCAGACTTGCTGTTCTGAACAACATGAAGCTCTTGGGTCCTGTCCATGCCTCTCTGGCCAGTAATTGCTACGGTGGCAGCAGGCAAGCCAGGCTTTCCTCAGTGACGTCCAGCCCACAGCTGACATCTACCTTCCCTTCCTACTTGCCTAGGCAATCGTAGCTTGTGTTTGAACTGAGCAATGAAGAAAGATCTCAGGCAGTTTTGAGTCAGCCTTCAGGTTCCTCAGAAACCTTAAACACAGAAATGAATGGGGTCACTGAGGTCAGGAACTCTAGATGCCCCTGCCTCATGGTTGGAGCATCAACTTCTGGAGGTTAAGGGTAGGATTATCAGGGGCTGCATGATGAAGGTAATAGTGGGACCACTTAGAGAGAGCCAACAGTCCAGGCCAAGACAAGCTGGGACCCAGCTCTGTTTCACATGTGAGTTGTTCTTCTTCTAATTGGCCCTCTAGGTGAAATTAATCATTTATTTCCACTTCCTGCTAATTGTCCAACTAGTGTGGCTGCATCTCCTTCCTGCAAAGCAATGTTGAAGAAGCTATGGAAGCAAGAAGGAAGCATGGATTCCAGAAACTGACAACAAACTACTTACCCCTATTGCTCTTTTTCCTAAAGTTAAAGGTAAATCCTAACTGGAGTTGCAAATGGGAATAGGAATGATGGTTCTAATGGTTGGAGCCCACTACCTTCCCTTCCTTGTACTCCTTTCCTGGTGCAGAGTGCCAGAGCAGCCAATGCCCCCTTTCAACAGGCGCTCACAGCACAGAAGTCAATACTTGAGGAGGAAAATTTCATTAAAAGAAAGACCCAAATTGCACAAGACAATAATACATACCACCCAAAGCAAAAATATTAGAGTAGACCAAGGACTTAAATTAAACTCGAGATATTATATACACACATGATAGCATGTGACCCATGGCAGAACCTCACCATTCGCCCCTCCAATAAAAGTCTGTGGATTCCTACACATTTCAAATCCAGAGAATATATCTCCCTGACACAGTGTCTTATACATCTCTCATCTTTTCCCTTGGTTTATTTTTTTAACCAGCTGGAAGTGATTCCTCTTGCACTAAGTCAGGGTTCTCAACCTCAGATTAATTTTTGAGCCAGATACTTCTTTATTGTGAGGAGCTGAGCTGTGCGTGGAAGGGCTTAGCAGTGCACCTGACTTCCACCCACTGTATGTCAGTAAGACCCCGCCTCCATCGTGACCGTTGAAAATGTCTCCAGAAATTATCAAAATCACCCCCTGGTTAAGAACCACGGCTCTAATGTACAGCATTCATTGTCTGTGTCCCCCAAGGTTTCTTCCAATCCTAGGTCAATGTATAGAACACATTTCCTGTCTCTCCAGTTTGGAGTATGAAGTAAAGCCATGCTTTAAAACATATTCAAATAAAATAGCTTGAGTTCTCATATTACTGTCAAGAGAATGTCCTTCTTGCCTCTGCTGGAATCTCCTCAACCCTTGTGCTGAGTCTAAGGAACCCAACGGCCACCTGGCTCAGGAAGCCCCCTCTGTGCTGCTCTGGGACTTTCGCTGCTTTGCAAGGTGGGCTGTGGGTTGATGGTAGTCCCTGCTCCCTGCTGTGGTGGTTGAAAATTAGAGGTGTTTGTAGTCCTGAGGCTTGGCCTGTGATTGGCAAGCAGTCTGCTCACGGTTGAGGGGCAGGAAAAGATGACCCTTCTCACTAACCTCAGCCAGGGTCATTCTCACCACCACAGGTGAAGGTGCTGGTGTTACCATTAGTATCTCTATGTTTGCACAGGCACACTGTATGCATGTACACATACACGAACACACACACAGAGCCATTGCCCCAAAGGGATCCCCATAGTTCAAGGTGAGTGGGACAGGAGATTCTTATAGCCTGATGCATGCCAGGACAAGCCCACCTTGAGAAGGACATGTCCTTGGGGGTTGAGCCTGTCATTGGTCTGGATTTCATCATCGCTCATGGGCCTTTCTGCTGGTGTGACTGCCAGTCTGCTGGCCATGCAGGGCCCTACTACCCATTGAGACATTCTAATAACATTAAACTTCAAAAGGAAGGGTCGGGGTTCCATTCCTACACCTTCTAGGTAACTAGACCTAGATGTATATTGACAAGCAGTCTTTGTCACAACCTCTCCCAGCAATGTCCTGTTTTAATCATCTATCAAAACCAAGCTTAACCAGGAGGAACCCCTGGAGATACCTACTCTAGAACAAAGAGCATCTTTTTGAAGGGCTCACTGTGACGTTTATGTGACCACTTTGGTTAATTCTCTTTGCTTCACCAAACAATCCATTTCATAGGTTATGTTTTTATGTGTATAAATGGTTATTTTCAAACTTGCTGTTTAGAAAGAGAACTATTCTTCCATATAAAATTTTATAGAAAATCATAGTATTAAAAATACAAAAGTGGCCGGGTGTGATGGCTCACGCCTGTAATCCCAGCATTTTGGGAGGCCGAGGTGGGTGAATCACCTAAGGTCAGGAGTTCGAGACCAGCCTGGCCAACATGGTGAAACCCCATCTCTACCAAAAATATAAAAATTAGTGGGTGGAGGTGGTGGGTACCTGTAATCCCAGCTACTTGGGAGGCTGAAGTAGGAGAATCTCTTGAACCCAGGAGGCAGAGGTTGCAGTGGGCCAAGATTGCGTCACTACACTCCAGCCTGGGTGACAGAGTGAGACTGTCTCTAGGAAAAAAAAAAAAACTAAACTAAAGGTTGGCTTGTTTGGGAGTATGGGGGATGTGGGTCCTGAGTTCTGCTCTCTTACCCTCTTGCTTTTCCTTTGCAGAACCCTGGGACCTTGAGGACACCATTTGAAAACTATTCATGGAAAACATGGCATCCTAGAATGAGAAATCCACATCTGGTACTGTCCGCCAGGGTTCCTAGCTTTCAGCAGAGAAGGAATCTATTAAAAATAGATAGCATAGCTTACCCCACCCCTGAGAGGGAGCGATGACAAGCCTGGAGGTAGGAAGAACAGCCTGGATTCACAATGCAGTGAAGCAGCGGTGGCTGCTGCCAGGCACAGTAGCTCTGGCTCATATCACTGGACATGGGACCTGGCCGAGGGCTCATACCAGGAACCTAGACACCAGACCCTGCTGCTGGGGCTGTGGCTGCAGGGCTTCTGGGGGGTCTGTGTTGCTGTGACTTCAGCTGCTGCCCACCACCCACTGGAGCCTGCCCCAGTTTCTGATTCACAATTTGAGGCAAGAGTGTCTCACTGAAGATCTTGCAGCAGGGTCCTGTACCTTAGCTTTAAGGAAGGCTGTGGAAGGGTATATATGGCATTTTTGCTTCCGTAATTTGATTTAGCTTTACTAAGTAAGACAGGAAATTCTCCAAAAGAAGAAGGAGGTTCAGATGCTAAGGGAGGAGGACGTAATGACAAATGCTTACTGCAGGAACTGTGGCAAATTGCTTTCTCTCTGAGCATTATTCCTCTAGGGAAGATAATGTCCCTTCTAGGCCATCCATCCATCCATCCATTTATCCATCCATAGCAAACATTTAGTAAGAGCTATTCTAGTTATCTATTGTTTCATAACAAACAACCCCAGCTTAGTGGCTGAAACAATCATTTCATGGTGCCTGATGACTTTTGTGGGTAAGGAACTCAGACAGGACTCAGCTGCGTGATTCTGCTCCCTATGGAGCCAGCTGGAGTCCTTTGAGATATTCAGGTAAGAGCTGATCTGATCTGGTCAGGTCAAAATAGCTTTGCTGACTTATCTGATCTCTTGATGGGGATGGCTGGAAGGCTGGACTCCACTGGGCTCCTCTCCGTCTCCATGTGGTCTCAGGCCTTTCCATGTGGACTCATCAGCAGGGTAGCTGGACTTCCTGTATGAAACGTAGGGCTCCAAGAGACCAAGTTTGCCTTAAGGGGCTAGGCTCAGTGGTGTCATAATGTCACTTCCACCATACTTAGTTGGTCAAAGCAGTTACAAGTTAGCCCAGATTCAAAAGGGGAAATAAAATACAGAGATGTCACCTCTGGCTGGAAGGTGTCAACAAACTTGCAGTAAGAGCCTTTAATCCACTGTAAGAACCAACTGTGTGCCAGACACAGTGTTAAGAGGAGGGGATACAAAACCAAGACATGGCCGTGTCTTCAAGGAGCTTGCAGTCATACAAGGCTACTAGACAAGCAAATGAAGGCAGTTAACGAGATCAATGTCGAGAAGGATTGTAAATTGTAAAATAATTTTAATATGAAGAATTGCTTTATTTCTGAGCTCTATTTCTAAATAATCATAAAACTAGGATCTAACAAACCTCTCTGATGCTCTCAAATATCAGTTACAATGTGTTGACTGATTCACCAAGAATGAGACACTCAGCTAAGAATTCTTTTGGTATAGTTGTTCCCAATTCTCAAACCAATCCCACTGCTGCAATTTCTACATGCCAAAGCCTTGCCCATGCCTCTTTCTTGATGACATGATGTATTGGGTTTGGTCTTACATCAGCACCCACCACTCTACCCATTGATGCCACTTAATAGATGCTTCTTAAGATGCTCACTTAGCCCTCTATCCACTTAAGGAGAGATTTCCAATTTACAGTGACCCAACCAACAGCTCATTAGAGGCTCTGATCTGTTCCTCTCACAATTGTTACTTTAATTTGCTGCCCTCTCTCAGGCTGTGAGGTGACAAGTTTGCAGGCTGCAAGGCAGACAGAGTTGAAGACGTTTTTTTTTTGAGTCTTGCTCTGTTGCCAGGCTGGAGTGCAGGGGTGTGAGCTCAGCTTACTGCAGTCTCTGCCTCCTGGGTTCAAGCGATTCTCCTGCCTCAGCCTCCTGAGCAGCTGGGACTGCAGGTGTGTGCCACCACATCAAGCTAATTTTTGTACTTTTAGTAGAGACGGGGTTTTGCCATGTTGGCCAGGATGGTCTCCATCTCTTGACCTCATGATCCACCCACCTCTGCCTCTCAAGGTGCTGGGATTACAGGCATGAGCCACCGCGCCCGGCTGAAGACGTATTTAAAAGTGCTTATGCTCTATTAGCAAAACTTACTAAGTGCTGCTGTGTTTAGGGAACTGGACCGTAGAGCGCTGTGAGCCTGCACAGTTTTTGCCTCAGAGGATAGTCACCCAGACAAGCTTTTCAAACTTTCCACTGCTTTTACCTGATCAATAAAATTAGAATGCAGAAAATCAGAAAAGTAAAACTCGAAAAAGCAAGTTGTCATAATCTCATTATCCAAAAATGGTGCTGTTTATATTTTGATATGTTGCTTTCTGGTTATTTCTTTATTTATTTTTAGTTTTAAGAAAATTAATAGACTTCATTTTTTAGGAGAGTTTAAAGTTTATAGTAAAATTGAGGCGCCAGGACAGCTGTTTCCTTCTGCCTTCCTCCCTCAGCATAGAGTCCTCTGTTATTATCATCTTGGAATAAACATCTGGTATTCATGCCATAGGTCTGCTACAATTAGTGAACCAATATTCATACATTATTATTCAATAGAATCTATCATTTACTTTATGTTTATTCTCTGTGTTGTGCGGTTCTGTGGGTTTTGATGAATGCAGGTCGGTATTCACCATTTCAGTATCCTGCAGAATAGTTTCAGCGTTTATCTTTTATATTGTTAGCTTGTCAGCGCGACCACAGTACACTCCTGCCTGCAGCTTTTTTTTCTTATTTCTTTATTTTTCACATGTGAGCCTAACACAAGCCTTCCTTTATGCTATTGCATCCTTCCTCTCCGTGTTTATAAACTCTCATAAACATCATGGGATACACCATCTTATACTTAACCAAGACCCTAATGTTGGACATTCAGTCAATGACAAGTGTTCAGTTATCATAGAGGATATTTTAAAATCAGTTCATGGAAATCACTTTCCAGGATCTAGATGGCATTCAGGGGAAAAAAATAATTTAGAAAGAAACAGCATTGTGTGGTGTCCCTCAGCACCTCCCAGGCAAAAGTCTTTTGTCTGAAGGCTGGAGGCCTGTGCTGTCTTGGCCTAGTGAGTGCCAGTTTCTACGTGGCTGCCCTGCACCCTTGGTGGTGGTGGTGGGGCAGTGCTGGCCCAGGTCTTAGCTTCCCTGCTCCTGCAGGAAGGACTGGGCTTCAGCAATCACTCCCTTCTTACTCTCATCCATCAGAGCCTTTAAATTGAAACCTGTAACTGTGGTATTCTCTTTGGCTTTTAGGCTTGGTTGGCTTAATGGGGGAAATATTAATAGCACTGCTGTGGGTGGAAGTGAACTTGAGCCACGTAGGAAGATTTTGATAAAACATGTCACTCTTGTTATCTATCAGGATCAAACTGTGTCACAAAAGCTGCACACGATGACACCGTCTGGAAAGTTTCTGCCACAGAGCAAAAGACTGCAAGCAGAATATCCCTTTGCCGTTTCTCATGTAAGTGCACACCAGAATTACTAAGAATAACATGAGAATAATAAAAGTAATTTTTTTTTCGCTGTGAAACTGATAGCCATAAAACTGGGTATCTAGAGTCCTGGAGTGTAACAGCTCCTGCTCATACATTAGCTCCTGTTAATTACCCCACCACAATTCTGCATGCTGGCTGGCGTTCTTGTCACTTTACAGTGAGGAGCCTTGGCTCCTCAGGTTCCAGAGAGGGGATGTTGCCATGTGTGGCTCTTCATGACTGTCCCACAGGCCTGCAGCTGGAATGTGGCAGAACTGGGAGCTGAATCCAGGACAGGGCTTTCCTCATCTGCTCTAGCCAGGAGCAGGCCAGGCCACTCTTCTGGACAGCCTTCTATCCCATGTGGAGGCAGGTTGGCCAGCCCCAGCCCATGGGTCTCGGCATGACCAGAGCCGCTGTGAGAAGCCTTGTTTATTTTAGCCTTTGGAGTCCTGTCTGCCCCCTGGCCTCCGACCCAGAACTGTGTGTTCCAACCATTGCCTAGTCTGTTGTCCTGGCTCAAAACAACAGGAACGAAAGCTCTTTCCTCAAGCCCCGCTCTCATGAAAATGAGCGCTGTGGGCATGTGGCTGGTGAGTTGCTGTGGCTCTCAACCTAGCAGGCAAATAGAGGGCAGTTCAGGGCCTCGCAGGGCACCAACAGCAGGGAAGCAGGAGGGTCAGCATCAGGAGCCTGGCCTTTGGGCCACAGAGACCTGAGCCCTCCTTTTACTCCTGAACTGTGTAACCTTAGGCAGGCGACTTACCCCTCTGGGCCTCAGTTTCCTCATCGGGAAAGCAGGGCTAATCATACTGTATGGCTTATAGAGCAGTTTTGAGGATTGCATGAACAAAAAACAAAGGGAAAGCACTTAGCCTTCTGCTTGGCATGAGTAAGCCCTCAGGATACTGTAGTTGCTATTATTTGGCAGCCAGGAAAATACAGAGAGCTCAATCTGCTGGCTCCCTGGTGTTTCTAGAACTGTCATCAAACATTCCACATCACCAGCCAGCAGGGCCCTTCATCAGACCCCTTTGCTTTTGTCTGTCAGGCTTCCCACTTCGACAAATGTCCCTGCGTTTAAGTCAGTAACCTCCTAGGCAGAGAAAGTGGCTTCACGCGTGTGACATGTGGGCACGTCTCCAAACGGCCAGAGGATCTGGTAAAAACCTAGACTTCTGACTTGTCTGTTTCCTGAGTCACCCATAGTTGGCCTCGTGGAAGCGGTTGACTTCTTCCCATAGCTGGCTGCCTCCTACTTCATCGCCTCCTCCAAGTCCAGGGCCAGCCCTGCCTGGCTGGGGAATCATGACAGTCTTTGTTCCCATATGGGTGAAGTCTTTTGAAAAGAGGGAAAGATCATTAGTTAGCTGTCAGCCGCCAGTATGGTTTGGTCATAGGTAATTCTACTAGAGAGCCAGAGCACTGGCAAAAATTCATTTGGTCGAGAACATTTTATCTACTTGTACAGCATACAAGGAAAGAAATGGAACACGTTATAGAAAAGTTTCTGTCAACTGTACAGTTCCTTACCAATCCAACAAGGAGGATGACAATGATGTCACTTTTCCTGCCTTTGAGAGGTCATGTACAGACACCCACACTTGCATACACCATATTATACCCCCCACCACAAATGGTGCACCCCCCTTCCCCCTACATACATGCTGGTGCACTCATACATGCCACACCACATTCTGTAGTGAGGAAAGTGAGTCCCACGCCGCCTTAAGGACTGGTTTGCATAAAGAGTGCGTATTTCTGCAAGTGCTTTTGTTCTTGCAGTCAGGCCTGACCATGGTCTGAAAGCAAACCTCAAGGCCAGGACTTCTGGACTACGCTGCCACTCCAGGTTGCCGCTTCACCACAGGAAGTCCAGCAGGTGGCGCTGCACCCCACGCGGACCCGAGGCCTGCCTGCCTTGGCCCCAGGAAGGCCTGTGGATGCGCAGTCGGGAAGTGGTCTGTGCGCACCTCGCTGCAGCTGTGGCAAACGCAAACGATGACACACAGGCTTGACGAGGGCCTTTGTCAGAAGCCACGGGGATCTGGCGTCACCGCACAATGGAAAACAAAGTGTTTCTGCCTGGCTGGCCAGAATGCACGTTTGCTCACTATTGATGCCGGGGCATTTACAGGCAGAATGAGTTCATGTGAAATTTCAGGATCTGCCATGACTCAGACTCACTTTCTGTAAACCAGAGTCAACATTACATTTCCCTTCACTCTGGGCCATTCCTTGAATTTTTAGGTCACCAGTTGTTTTTGTACTAACTGAAGGGATTTGAGTATTTCGTAAGCACCCCCCCCTTTTTTTTTTTTTTTAGGACATTACCAATTTGGGATGGATCTGTAGTGTAAGAGATTGTTGTCACTCTTAGCTCCAAAAATAGGTTGGCTTTATATATTATTTATATGTTCAGAATTATACCGTATAGAAATTCAAGTGAAACTTGCAAAATACTTTTCTGGCAGGAAGCCCTGGAGAGGATGGTTCACGGAGACGAGGATGACGACTGGGGTGAGAAATGCAGGTGACTTGTGAGTGGGCAGAGAGTGGAAGAGAAGATGACTGGAAGATTTTAGCACCCAGAAAAGAATGGAGACAACTAGAGTTGATCTGAAGATTATGACAGAATTCAATACTGGGGCAAAGAAACAAGATGCGGTTAGAAATTAGAAACAGCAGAGCTCCGCAGGTTGGAAAGGATTTGAGCAAGAGAACAAGAAGGAGCCTGCTAATAGCACCCTGGGTTCACATCAAGAGAAGCACCTGGAGAGAATTAACTCGGGAGGAGGTGGGGGCATGGGAAACCTTTTCGTCTCCAAGAGCGGGCCGGAGTGTCAGCTGGCCTGAACTTGAAGTTACACCAGGTAGCTTGCCTGGGCTGGGAGAAGTGATTCCCTTCTATGCCTCTCTCCAAGGCCCTGCTCCTGACGCTGCTCCTCTACCCATATTGAGGGGAAGATACATCCCTAATAAGTTCCCTGCACCCCATTCCTTGTTCTAGCTAATTGGTCCCCTAGGAATTTTCCTACTAATTTTCAATTCCCCTTTTCACCTGGTGAAATATTAAATCTTACTGTTCAATTAAAGTTCTTGTATGGAAATTTCTATACCACATTGAATTTGGTTTGTGTGTCGCCTTCTTTGTTTGTGTTCTTTTTGGGGGGAGTTTTACTTAGGGAAAAAAGCCAGGTCGGGCGAAGTGACTCACACCTACAATCCCAGCACCTTGGGAGGCCAAGGCAGCTGAATCACCTGAGGTCGTGAGTTCGAGACCAGCCTGACCAACATGGAGAAACCCTGTCTCTACTCAAAATACAAAATTAGCTGGGCATGGTGGCACATGCCTGTAATCCTAGCTACTCAGGAGGCTGAGGCAGGAGAATCGCTTGAACCTGGGAGGCGGAGGTTCCAGTGAGGCAAGATTGCGCCATTGCACTCCAGCCTAGGCAACAAGAGCGAAACTTCGTCTCAAAAAAAAGCCTTTGGGGACTGGATAAGGAAGGAAACATTCGTGTGGACCGTCTTGAGCTCTGTTTTCCTTCCTGGCCTCACTGGTGTGGGCTCTCTGGCTGCCCTGCTGATCTCTTGCTTTACTGGATTTGGGTGAGGGCTGGAGGGAGGGACGGGAGTGTATTCACTGGATACCATTCAGACCAAAGATTAGATGTCCCAGGTGAGTAAGCAAGAAAGCAAACACATAGACAAACAAAACATCTGAACATTTGCAAGCCAAGTGGAGCAGAATTTAGCTTTTCCAACTAAACTGCCCCACCCCTGGCACACAGGGAAAACGGTGCTTATATGTGTAATATGCTCTCATGGATACATGCAATATGACTAGTAATTTTTGCCTTGTGATGTAAATTCTCTTTCTTCCTCACTCAGAAAAACATATTGTAGTTGAAAAAAAAAAAAGAATTCTGGCCAGGCATGGTGGCTCATGCCTATAATCCCAGCACTTTGGGAGGCTGAGGTAGGTGGATCATCTGAGGTCAGATCGAAACCAGCCTGGCCAACATGGCAAAACCCCATCTGTACTAAAAATACAAAAATTAGCCAGGCACGGTGGCAGGTGCCTGTAATACCAGCTACTCAAGAGGCCGAGACAGGAGCATTCCTTGAACCTGGGAGGCGGAGGTTGCAGTGAGCTGAGATTGCACCATTGTACTCCAGCCTGCTCAGCAGAGTGAGACTCAGTCTCAAAAACCAAAAGAATTCTGATTCTTTCTGAGTGTGTGTGTGTGAGGGGGGACACAAATTTAGACTGAAACTTTGCTAAATAATAGGTTATTACTGATCCAGATACATTAGGGTAGTGAGAACAGTAAGTCTGGAAAAGAAAAGGATTGTTAGCAGTACACATACACTCTCCCACACATAGAACAATGCTTGGGTCTACTGCATTTTAATATCCGCTGAACAGGTAGTGTGAATTCACATCATTTTAGCGATGGGAAAACAGAAAATTGCGGAGAGCTTAACTGAATTTCCTGAGGTCATGGTATGTCAGAAGGGCCAATAATCTTTCAACTTTCAACTCATACCTTTAAACTCCTGCCTCTTATCCTTTTCCAGGTGATTGGGGAAGACAAGCTACAACTCTGTCAAGTGTCTCATTCCATTTTCAGAGGAGCAGAGGTCAGGTGCCTCCTACGGTTGAGGTCTCGCCAGAAAGACCATGGTCGCATTCCTCAGCACTCAGGCAAGTGTTTTGATGCCTGGGTGCCCCTACCTGGTGAGCCCAGCATTCACGAAGCATACGTGACAGGAGAACGGTTGGAATATTGCTCAACATTGTCAGGTCGACGGCACTGGCTGCATGTAATTTGAGAAGAGTTATAGAATGTCAGCCAGACTTTTATGACGCACTCCTCTCCTCTTCCTGAGGATTGTTTGCATGTAGAGATTTTCTGCCTGCATTTTTAGTGTCAAATTTTTTGTGGTTTCTCAAGTCCCTTCGGCCATGTCTTACTGACTTACGTAGAAACCCTGATAAAGCTGATGACCACTGAATGGAAAGAAGTCAGTGTGGAAAGCCCAGGAATTGTCCCATAGCTGGCCCTGTAGGTTTGCACAGGTTCCCCAGAATAAGTTTGCAGATAGCTTCACTTCCAGGAGTCCTGAGTTTCACTAGTTCCCCTTCTTTATGATGAATTGAAAAAAGGATTTATTCTGGGGTAAAGCAAAAGGGAACAGGGTACAGCAAAGATCCCTAGATCATTTTTCCCAGTGGCCCATTGCTCCTGCTGCTTTTTTCACGCCAGCTGGATCTCCCCAAGCCCCATGTCTGCAGCAAAGTCTCCGTGGTGAAACAGGTGAGTCACACTTTTCTGCTTCTCTGTAATTACAAACGTTATCACCTCATCTGACATAGAGAGGGTGTTGGTTGGAAATATGCATTAGGAATAAGCTCTTTGGAAACATCAACACTGCCTGCATGAAATGAAGGCTTTTTAAAGAAAGTCTGCAGCTAAAGTTATAAAAATAAAGAGGAGTCATCTCTCCTTCCCTCTCCTACAATAATGGAAATAAAATATCAAAGTAAACAGCACTGCATCCATGTCCTCAGCATGCGTGACTCGCTAACAGAACCATGCCGCCACCCCATTCCTTCTCGCCCATCTTCTTTGCTGTTCTCACTGTCTCTCGAGACTTGATTTAAAACTACCTTCACTAAAAAGGCTTCCTGTCCCTCTTCTTGTCCTTCATGGAGTATTATTTTGCTTCTGTAACTTAAAAAACCAATTTTGTTCTCAGGTCATTCTCTGTGTCCATCCTATCTCATCCATCCTACAGATGAGATGTTCTTCCAGGGTAGAGGTGATCCCATCTCATCTTTTTATTCTCCCTCTGCTGTTCTTCCCATGGGCAGTCTTCAGTATGAGAAGCATCAATCTCAGATCTTACTCATTTCCAACTTGTACTAACCAAAGGCCCTCCCAGCCAAGATAAAAGCAAAGTCTCCTTCCCCCAGAGGACATGGGAATGCCCCCCACCCCACCCCAGTAGCCAGGGCATGCAAGCTAATGATGTTTCATCTTCCACCTCTACCCAAAAATGACCTTGCTGATACCATCTCCTATTAGATGACAAATCCGGATGTTCCTATTGCATGGTTGTTATTTGCCACATGCTTCCTGGACAGGTTTCTTGGTAACCTTAATGTCTGTGCTTCTGGGGAAGGAGGAGTAGAAAATAACTCACCTCTTCAGTAAGTGGTTTTAAAAATATAACAGTGTTTAAAAGCTTTTAGAGAGCAGCTCTCCTTCCGGCTGCTCCAGCTCTGTTTGCTTTGTGATAGGAGCCCCCGTAACACTTCGTGCTTGGCAACAACTGACGAGGACAGAAGGCAGGTTTAAAGCTGAGAAGATTGATTTTTCCTTTGTAGGGCTTTCTATGAGGGGCATGGGAGAGAAGTCACTCAGGGAAGCAGTGGTCAGTGGGGTTTACGTCTCCATATGCTCTTCATTCATGTGTAAGGCTAAACAAACATGTTGTCTCTGCAAGGGAATCCCACACCACAGAGAGGAGCAGTTCATCCTTGGGGTCCTAGAGAGGCAACCAGTGAGGGTGAAAGTTTGGAGCTCTCAAGGTCTTTCCTCCGACTCTCATTTCCATCCAAAACTGGCAGGGGACATGTACCCAAATTGCCTGTGTGTTTTGATTTGATGTGGACACACTGTGACCACTCAGGCTCATGCCAGTGCCACTGAACTCCATGGTTCACACTAGACCCTACTGTCTCGTTTTAGAAAGTGGGAGGAGATTTCCCCTCTGCCAGGGCTTGGGGTTTGCGTTCCCCAGAGCATTGAGCAAGAGCCTCCTGTTTACAGAAATCTCAGGCCCCATGATTTCTTCCTGTCAGGGTAGGAGAAGGAGTAGGCACAGAATGTGGAGTTGATCTTGCAGCTTCAGTCCTTTTGTTCTTTCCCAGCACGAGGTTACCTAGGAAAGGATCGCGTGGGACGCCAGGGGTGAGGGTATGTATTGGTTGTTGGAACTCTGAAAATGCAATTTTAAAATTGGCACTGTAAATCAAATCATTAAGTCTTCTGCATGTAGTTTTATTTTTTCAAAAACTTCATAAAACTGTCTAAAAATACCTACGCTATATTTTAAATGCTGTGGGCAATGTAGTTTTAAAAATTTTATTTTAAAGTCCTGTTGTAATTTCTTTAAGAGATGCACACTGTCTACCTGGTTTACTATTTGTGCAAATATACACACACACTATATATATACACATATATATATTTCAAAGTTTTTTGAAATCTAGTGCTCATACAGTCACAACTAGCAGCTGCTAAATCCACCCCTAATGTTCTCAACCTCATCTGGTGTGACTTAAAGCAGCAATGGTCCAGCCAGCACAGAAACCATGTATCCACCTGAGTTCACTCCTATGGGCATATTGTCCACAGGTCCTTCTACCTGGGTGTGTAAACTCCATCTTACAATTTAGGAGAATTTGGTTACACAGCACTTTCTAGCTCTTAAAAATATCAATGCCCATTTTATATGGTGGGTCTATGTTGGATCTAGTGAAAATATGCACATAAGTCTTTTAGAAGATATGGGAGATTGAGGTCATACAATTTTTTTTAACATATGTGAAGAGAGTAAATACTTAGTGTTTCATCAACTCCATGAAAATGAAGATTCCAAACTACCACAGAACTAAGGAATAAACCTTTATCGTTTGGCTTTAAAGACTCTGAAAGTACTGGGTTCTATAATTGCCTTAATTGGGGTCATGCAAGCGTGGAACACTAGGAGCTAAATAGTTCATGTTAAGGCAGATCAAGGCTTGAGTTCCAGATTTCCAGCAGGATTTAACTCCTGAGTCACATCGACTTGGGGTGCAAGATTCACTGGGAAGCAGGGAGGCGCACAAGCTAGCCTGCAGAACTCTAGAAAGCAGTGCCTGATAAAGATCTTTAAAGTCTCCATGAATCAAAGATATTAAGATTCATTTTCTGCTACCCCATCATCAAAATAAAGGCTATTCAAAGCCACAACATAAATATAAAACTGTTTCCCATGGTAACCACCTCGTTGATTAAAGTATTTTCACTTTTTCCTTTTCTTCTGTGAATTGGTGCTGCCCTAAGCTTATGCATGGTCTGCCTGTTAGCCACCTAAGCACATCTGGCAAGGTGCGGGAGGTGAGGAAGGGCAGCTATGGAGGTGTGCTTTGGAAGAATGTAAAGGCAAGGCTGGGGACAGCTCTCACTGAAGGGTAGCATGCCTGCCCAGCCAAGGGCCAAACAGAATAAAGAGACAGCCTCAGCAAGTGCTCCAGAGTGGGTGGATTTCACAATGTATGGAACAGATCCTTTTAGGTCCAAAGTGCTACATACTTACTTTATGATTTGCAAACATTCATCTTCTGGCTGGGAGGCTGGAGGCAAACAGACAGCTCATTAGGAAAATAACCAAAGGGCTAAGTATGGAGGCAGTAGGCAGCAGTTCCCGGGCAGACGAGTATGGCTCACAGTCCTTCATGAGAGATCAGCGGCCAAGCCAAATCAGTGCGTCCCTCCCTCAAAGGTCATTCATCTAGGGCTTTGTCAAACCAGGAAGGGAAGGGAGTTTCAAAGGGCCTTTTGTGGAACACACACAGCTCTGGCCCCTGAGATTCAAATCAGGATCGGGAAACCTGTGTAGCAACTGCCTGCATGTACAATGCCTAGCGACCAGCCAGGGCCCTCCAGCCTCCTTTTCTTTTTATGAGCATGAAGTTTTCCCTGTAGATGGGAAAGAGGTAATTAAAAAACAAAACAAAAATCTGTCCCAATTCAATAAAAAGAATCACCACCAAGACCTGGAGTTACTTACTTATTTGTGAATAGAACCAAACATGTTAGATATTTTTTGTTGTATGTGATTCAACAAATTGCATAGAAATTATATTTAAAAACCCAAGTCATTATTATTTGCATCATAGATCATACTATGTAGTGGCAGCATGAGAAATGCATTGAATATACATGCAGATGTTTTTATTTATATACTTATGTGTGCGCGTATGAATATCAAAGCAAAGCCAACCTAGGAGTAGATCCGCAGTAAACTTGTTAAACACTGAGATGGAACTTAAAGTAGCTTCTCTTTGTTGATGATCTCCAGGTTCTTTTGCAGGATCCTACCTCCATATACATGATCATTCTTTTCCTTAGAATGGCCAATGACTTCTCGGTCCTCTTCTCTCTTCTGCGAGTGTTATGAACATTAAGAGCTTTCCTGGAAAACATGGGCTTTGTGCCTGTATTTATTATTTTGCTCTTCAATCCACTCTGTTTTCAAGCAACACACAGTTCTTTGTTTTTATGTCATTTTATTTAGTTTCACCAAAGGGCTCTGGGCTCTTCAGATGTTATGTTGTGAAAAGAAGACCAGGCCCAGAGAGCAGAAAGCCTGATCCCCAGGCTGGGTCAGGCCTTCTAGTCTAAGGCCTCCAGCTGGTCCTGTAGGTTCTCTGCGATTCAGCCTCTGCAACTGCTTACCTCACAGAGTTGCTATGGACATCAAACCAAAGGATGACTATAAAAGCACTCAAATGTAAATTATGTGTTATTATTAGAAAAGTTTCAGTTTTATACCAAGACAAAGGAACACTATTATTCATTTGACATGTTTTCTTTTTATTCTTATTCATTTTACATGTTTTTCCCTTTTATTTCTGTCCATGGTTCTCTTCAAATTTTGTAAATTAAAACGATGTCATCATTATCGAGTCATAATTGAGTCAGCCATTGAGAATATGAATCTGCTGAAACTCAGGGAAAAATAATCTCCAGTCCAGTAGGACCTGACATTAGAGAGCCAATTTCTGTTGGTGACAAAGAACCTTATTTCTTATAAAGTTCTAAATGAAGCTCTAAGTCAAAGTTATGGCAAAACTTCTAGGATAAAGAATCGGGGAACTCCATGGGCAATACATGGGGAGTCAGGGGAGTTCACAAGAGCTGCAGAGGGCAATTTTGGACCTGAAGGCCTAGTAACCTGCTATCATCCTTGAAGACAAGAATATCGTAATCTCAACAAGCTGAATAAAGGCGGCCAACCAGTGAATCAAGCCTGTGGTTATGTAATGGTTTGCTCTGCAGTTCTGCAAGCTTGCTGACAGTAGGTTCTCTTTCTCTGCACCCTTTCATTGAAGCATCTTAGCCCAGGAGGGTTGAACCCCTATTAGAAGCCCGTGCCTGCATTCAATTCCTTAAGCATTGGTCATTATCATCCACCATGTTTCTGCTGTGATTGATGTATTTATAACTGGCAATTCAAGAAAGCTAGGGCAGGGAGTCTTTAAATCTTTGATTTAAAGACATGGCATCTTTTAGAAGTCTTGTAGAACCCTTGACCCTTTCTCAGAATACTATTTTTAAAAGCATAAAATGAAATATATAGGATACCAAAGAAACCAATTATACTGAAGAATAGTTATTAAACACTTAGTAAAAATATATGATATAGTCACATAGATGCTTCTTTATTAAGACATTAAATAAGATCTACTGATGGGTTAAGGAGTTCCAGACCAGCCTGACCAATACGGAGAGACCCTATCTTTACTACCAAAAATACAAAAAAACTAGCTGGGCATGGTGGCACATGCCTGTAATCCCACCTACTTGGGAGGTTGAGGCAGGAGAATCACTTGAATCTGGGAGGTGGAGGTTGCGGTGAGCCAAGATCCTGCCATTGCACTCCAGGCTGGGCAACAAGAGTGAAACTCCGTCTCAAAAAAAAAAAAAAATTAATTAAAAAAATAAGTATTGTACCTTCAAAATGTGATGAATGTAAATGATGTTTCAAAGCATTAGCAACAACTGTTGCTGACAGAGTCACAGGTGTTGATTTTTGTTTGTTACTGCTATAGTTTGGATATGGTTTGTTTGGCCCCACTAAATCTCATTTTGAAATTTGACTCCCAGTGTTGGAAGTGGGGCCTGGTCGGGCGTATATGGGTCATGGGAGTGGATCCCTCATAAATAGCTTGGTGCCATTCTTGTGGAGGTGAGTTCTTACTCTTAGTTCTCCAAGAGAACTTGTTGAAAAGAGCCTCTCTGGCCAGGCACAGTGGCTCATGCCTGTAATCCCAGCACTTTGGGAGGGGGAAGCAGGTGGATCATTTAAAGTCAGGAGTTCAAGACCAGCCTGATCAACATGGCGAAACCCTGTTGTTTTTATATTTTACTAAAAATATAAAAATTAGCCAGGTGTGGTGGTGAGCACCTGTAATCCTGGCTATTTTAGAGGCTGAGGCAGGAGAATTGCTTGAAAATGGGAGGTGGAGATTGCAGTGAGCCAAGATTGCACCACTGCACTCCAGCCTGGGTGATAGAGCTAGAGTCAGTCTCAAGAAAAAAAAAAAGAGCCTCTCCTTTTTCCTTTCTTGCTGCTTCTCTCTCCTGCCATGTGATCTCTGCACCTGTTGGCTCCCTCAATGCCTTCTGCCTTCAGTGAAAGCAACCCGAGGCCCTCACCAGGACCAGATGCTGGCACCGTGATTCTTGTACAGCCTGCAGAACCATGAGTTAATTAAAGCTCCTTTCCATATAAATTACCCGGACTCAGACGTTCCTTTATAGCAACACAAATGGAGTAAGACAGTTACCTGCCTTCTTAAAAGAAAAAATGCTAAATTTTAGTTACATGTTAGTGAAAATAAGTGGGTCTTTCTCCATCCAAGTTTATAGACCTTTGGAATTCTATCCAAGAGCGCCTTGGGTGTCTGTAGACCCCAAAGTCAGCCCCTGTGCCAGGATGGCTTATTTGCTACTGGCCCAAAGGACAATCACAAGAACTCAAAGAACAGTATTACCTGTGCCTTTCCTGTATATCTACTTATAAAACTCAAATTTCACAGCTTGTCACCAACTGGCAAGCTTCTATAGTATAAGTTTCAAGGTAAGAAATGATAAAATTCATGTAAGATCTATAGTCAATGTATATTTGCTTTGTGTTTTTGCTGACG